GCTCGACAGTTATGTCGGGGGAGGTGAGGTCGAGCGCACAGGTTGTGAGGTGGTGGAGTCAGCAGGCTTGGCACTCGACCCCTCAGCGACGGTTTTCTTCTTCAGGGGAGCTCTCCTCTTAGGCACAGAAATAGTGGGCATCTCTACAAAAAACGTACACGCAGGTGACAACCGCAATGAATACATAATATACGAGACAAATATGGTGATGCTCAAGCCTATTTAGCAAAGATGCACACCTGGGTCGCTCTCGATCCGAATAAGATCAAAAGTCGTTTGACTAGGAAGAGGACATGATTTGTGGGTAAGCAGCCCACAAAAATGCAGAAGGTTCTCATCCTCCAGAAGGGTCTTCGACGCAACAGGCTTGCTATTCCATACTGCAATCCGTTGGTCGAAGAGGGCGTTGGTGGAAGGCACGGAGTACTCTCGAGGGAGTTCCTTGAGCCAAGGAGATGGAGCCCAAGGAAAAGCAGGTTTAGGCTCGACAAAGGCGAATTTGTCTTTCCAGCGGGGAACGTTTGAAGGGGTATCCGAAATGAAATGGACGTCGTTGCGGCTCTTGAGGTAGATCCCTTGAGCATGTTTCGAGGGAGTATAACAGTAATGGAAAAAATCCAGGTCAAGTCGACCTAGACGTACGCGGCAAAGGATGATGAAGACGGTAATAAATCTGATGGCGTTGGGTGGAAGTTGGTTCAAGGGTAGGTCGAACCACTTGTAGAGATCGATCAAATCCTGGCTTAAGGGAAAGCGGATGCCAAGCTTAAATTGAATTTCAAAGAAAGTATAGCAGTTTTGAGGAGGATGGTCATAGGTATCTCGAGAGCCGGGGGACAAAAAAGCCCAATTGGCAGGATAGCCAAATTCTTCGGCATCCAACCAACCAGCTATGAGGGAACGAGAGGAAGAAGAAGACTTTTTTGAAGAGGTGGATGCCTTAGCCGACTTACCCTTCTTAGGAGCAGCCTTAGGAGAAGTAGAGACGGGGATAGACGAAGAAGCAGCCCGAGCAAAAATGAAATGGCGAGAAAGAGGAATATTGTCTTCGTCTTCCTCAGCAGCGGCTTCGGCGGCATCGAGGGCCTCTTCAACGGCGTCAGAGGCCCCAAACACCGGTCGGCGACGATTCAAGGGGATGTGATCGAGGGTATCCCCATCCGATTCATCAATCGGACGAGTAGATCGACGAGGAGGAGAAGGTGCGGTATAATCAGAAGGGCGTAGAACACTGAGGGGAACGGGATTGTAGATTTCCTCAACGGAGCGGGAAGGCGAGTGAGGAATAGGCTGGCGAACAGGAAAAGACGATGCGCTTGCCTCATCCTCACTGAACTGATGGCTCGGTGCGTTAGAATCAGTGGAATCTGAAAAGAAGAGCAAAAATTGAGGGAAAGAGAAGAGGAATTAGGGTTTTGAAAAGCAAGAAAGGTAGGTTTTTTGGCCGCAAGCGAAGCGAGAAGAATTGGGGAAAAAGGAGAAGCAACAGGAAAATCAAAAAATTGACAAAATAAACACACATAAATATAAAATTGGAGCACAGGAGACTTACTCATGGTCGCGGTGGAGAAGTGGTTGCCGGAAAGTGTTTGAACGGGCGTTGAGAGTAGGCAAGAGCAATCTGCAGAAAGAAAGTGCGGAGTGCAAAGGAGATTCAAAATCGCAAGGGTGAGAAAAGCTGCAAAAATGACTAAGTGTCGTATTTATAGGAGTACAATTGAATAAGGTGAAGAGTTGGGAGAATAGGACCGTTAGATAAAGGAAGATCCAACGGCGGAAACAATTAAAGAGGCGTAGATATCGGAGCGGCACAAATCGCGAGAAGACGTGATGATTAAAGGTACAGAGAAGGAGGACATGTGGCAGGCGGAAATCGCGCTAATAACAAAGAGAGATGAAAAGCGATCATAGCATGCAATAAAAGAAACCACGTGGTCGAGGAAAGGTAACAACATCTACAAGTGATCGAGAGAGGAGACCAGAAGGCGACGCCGACAAAAATAATCGGAAAAAATACGTAGAACGAAGAAGACAGCTCGGATCCACTCTTAGATCGAGTCATTCAGACTCGACCAGAGTGGGGGGGGGGGGACTAGATGATATGGGATATCATACGACTAAAGAACAGACCGGCCCATCGCGTCGGTCAAACCGGCATAAGTTGGGAGAAAACCACGTGGGTTGAAGGATAATCGACCAAAGCAGAAGAGATCGAGCAGAATGACAGGGTTGGTCGAGGATCGACATAACGAGGGGGAGCTCGATCATATCGAGCACGTAGCAGGAAGGAGGCCGTCGAGAGCGTGACCTGAACGTGAGTAGGCGCGTGGGTGATACCAAGAGATCCCAACGGCCCACGCGAGGGAATATTTCCCCTCAGCTCAAAAGGGGACACGTGGCGAGAACCTAGTGGTGCAGAGTAATAGTGGCAATAACCACCTCTGACATCCCTGACATTTCTGACAATACACGTACTGTGTGTGTACGGACGGGCAGCGCGGGCAGGACAGCTCACCAAATAGCCGGGCAGCTCTTAGGGCAGGTATCTCACTCCTATATATAGAGGAGTGGGTCTTTTCTTAGGGTTTACGATTTATCCATTCTTTACTTTAGAAAATTGAACAAACATATACTGACTTAAGCATCGGAGGCTCTTCACCGGAAAACCCCTCCGGTGTGAGAGTTTTGCGCAGGAGCGCGGCGTTCTATCGGCGGGGAAGAAGGAAGCAAACCAATTCCAAGCCGGTTGGAGTGTTTTGCGTTACCAATATGTATATGAATACACAATTCAATAATTTATTATATAGTAACAATAAAAAAAATTATTTATTAAAATATAGTATATTTTTTAAAGAAATAAAATAATTTTTTTTTATCCTAAATAGAAAAATAGGCAAAATTGCATTTTGTGCCATATAACTAGGGGTGTGTGGCAAATGTGGACAACTTCTTTTTGATTTGGCAAAAATGTCCTGAAACTTGTTAAAAACCGAAATCCGTCCCCAATTTGGGCACAAATTTCGAATTTTAACAAGTTACTGTCCTGTTTTTCCACACGAAAAACCCGATCAAATCCGGTAACTTGTAGGTAAATTGGGCACAAATTCTGGGTTTTAACAAGTTTAAGGGCACTTTTGCCAAACCAGAAAGAAGTTGTCCACATTTGCCATACAGGCATAGTTACAGGGTACAAAATGCAATTTTTCATAGAAAAATAACATTAATATAAATATTATTTTTTAAAAAAATAATGATAAATGATAATAAAGAATAATAACGTCATTCCATTCAGGTCTTATTCATTCGGCATACCAAACGCATCAATGACAAAACTTGTTTCATCCCTTTCACATAATCATTCCATTCTTCATCTCATTCAATTCCTACCAAATTTCATTCCATTGTACCAATCATGTTAGTGTTTATATGTTTATTTATTATTTGAACTTTATTATGAAGTAGCGGATTTTAAAAATTAATATTATTTACTACAAAATATGATAATTATGTGATAAACAAAATAAAATAATTTAAAATACTAAAAAATGCACTCATAATATCAAATTAAAATTAATCTTTTTTTTAGGTTATCTACCGTATCTATAAGATTTTTATTTTTTGCTTATCCTTTGCATTTTCTGTTACGAATATTAATTTTACTTATTAAAAAATAAAATAACAAAAAAAAATAATTTAAAAATAAATTCATCACTTATTTACAATAAATTTAATAACAGGATTACTTGCTATATACATTATCTATAACCTTCTTTTTTTATTAAAAAAAAAAATTGGCAATCATTTAAGAAGTATAATCTTAACGTTTCCTTTTCGATTTTATTTTTATTTATATTTTTATTTTATTTTATTTATGCATAAGATTCTTCCGTGAAAATATATGTGTGGAAATGTAACACAAGAAATGTTAGATAATTATTTAATTTAATAGGTTTATATAATCATATATTTTGTCTGATCACTTAATATTTGTACACTATAGAAAAATTGTTATATTGCAATAGAAAATTTTATAGTAATATATTCTCATCAAAATTTCAATGGTATAACTTCCGATGGAATGATTCCAACGGAAATTCCAACAAAGATATTCCGTTTGAATGAGTTTTCCATTGAAATTTAGATGGAATTTGATAATTTCAGCAGCTATTTTTTCAAGGATTTTTTATCGTAAGAATTTCCGTTGGAATTTTTATTTCTATCCCAGTTGAAAAATTTACCGTTGGAATCGTCAAAATCCAATGGAAATACCAATGGATAATTCATTCCAACGAAATATTTGTGTTGAAATTTTTTTGGAATCTATTGAAAGATTCCAATGAAAATAGCAGCATTGGAATATCCATTAAAATTGACGTTGGAATTCTATTTAAATATTTTTCTGGTGGAATTTTTTATTATAATTTTATCATTTTCTTGTAGTAGTAATAACTAGTATGTACCCCGTGCGATGCACGGGACAGATATATATATATATATATATATATATTTAGAGTTAGGATCACATGAGAATGCTACCTAATGAAAGAAATGAGAATAAGTTTGGACCATTAGATCGATCTAATCAACGGTGTAAATGCAGTCAAATCAGTTCAATTAGACAGCCAGTACACGGTGGCATAATTGTAATTAAGGGAACAATAGCGGTCATTTATACACAGCGGAGGGTAGGATAGTATTTTTCATTACTGAGCGGGTATTTAGATGCCCAGTCTCATTCATTACGCAAACGCTGCTCAGACACATTAATTTCGGGCGTTTTCTCAAGGTGTAATGGCGTGATAACTCAGTTGATAGGTAAGGCGTTATCTATATGTGTACCGATTTTGTGTTTACAAGCTTCTCATCTCAATTATATGATATTGGTGTTGATTTTTTTTGTTTTTTTTGTTTTTCTTTTTATTTTTGCGATCGAGTTCAGTCCAGGATCATATCGGAGCTCATATCCACGCTATAGGGTTAATTCTGCATAAGCTCTTACAATGGGAAACTCGCCTCGTAAGGAAAAGCCAGGTACGATCTGTTTTGATGTTCATATTGTCCCATTTATGAATTTTTAGTTCGATTCGAGCCTAGGATTGTTCCGTTTCATTCTGTGCTATCATGTATCTGGATTTTTGGCAGCGAAATTTCATTAATCGTTGAATTTCGTCAGTGACCTTTTTGTCTGTTTGTTTCAGTTTTGTCATGTGAACTTGTGTTATTCAGTTGTATTGTTGCTTGAATTTTGGCTTCTGTTTATTCACATGGGTCTGTTTGCTTGAAGCTATACAATATGTATGATTGCTTTAATTTTGTGTGTGTGCTCAGAATTTTCTACGTAAATGTTATTTGTGCTAATTTGACATTATTGCTGGAACATATCTTGGAATTTTAGATATGTTGTTTTGTTTGATTTTGTTTGTGGGATCTTTTGTAATAGCTGTGTGTATTACTCAAGTTTTTTGCTTGTTATTTAAGGTTTTTGACTGATTTTTGTAATAACTTTTTATATTACTATGTGTTTATGATATTATAAACATATATTCTGCATATATTTTTGTAGGTGCTACACGAAAAAAGAAAGGTTCCGTAGTTGAAGCACATTGTGTCAATTATCAAATTAAAGGTCCTGGTAATTATTGATTTCCTCGAGTTTGGTCTATTTTTATGTTATTTTGTGTCTTTTATTTATTTATTTATTTATTCTTTGGTAATTCATATTCTTTATGTTATTTTGTGTCTGGTCTTTATGTTATTTCCTCGAGTTTGGTCTGTTCTTTATGGTGTCAATGTTTCACATAAGGTTTGTTATTTAGGATCTTTCGGACTGATATTGTAATAGCCCTATATATTACTATGTGGTTATGAGATTATACACATATATCATGGACTTGCTGCACATATTTTGTAGGTGCTACACGAGAAAAAAAAAGTATCGTAGTTGAAGCACAGGGTGTCAATGATCAAACTAAAGGAACTGGTAATATGTTTGACTTATAGTTATGATTTGTCTTTTTTAGTTATTTATCTATTCGACTGTATCGTGTTTTACGATTGATATTAGTCACTATCGTTTTTTTTTTTTATTCTTTTTTGATTTGTTTATGAATGTCATGTCGTCCAACTATTGAATTTGTCGGCAGTAACACGTCGTAGCTCAATTGACAATTCAAGCCAGCCTAAAAGTGCAACGCCGACTGATGACAATGCGCATAGAGGTGAATAGCATGTTTTTTTATAATGCTTGCACTGAATGTGTGTGTGTGTTTGTGTGCACGAATTTGTTTGTATCTATTTCGACCCATGTGAGTGTAGTTACGTGTCTGTCATAGCTTTTTGCGTCGATATTTGATATTCAATATATATGCGTGTGTATTGCGTGTTATCCTCTGTTTATAATGTGTTTATAATGTGCATTGGTTGGAAGAAAATATATGCAACTCGCAGTGCACAATTGTGCACCATAACTGATATCTATAATTGTTGATTACATACTGTTTGAATATGATTGTTATGGTGTTCACTATGTTATTCACTTATCCCATGTGTCACACTATTTTTTTTTTCATCGGTGGCAGATAAGAGACATGCAGATGAATCAGTACGTAACGCATCACATGCGAAGCACGTCAAGATGGTTGGGTCATCATCGAATCGACCTGACAGTAGCGATGATTTCGTGGACGTGCCCCCTCGTACACGTCGTGACGAAAATGCAATCACACGAAAGGGTACGTTGTATTATTTGTCGAACTACGAACGTATATAATTTAGGTACAAAATTTTAATGCGTTTATGTATGTGTCAGGAAAGGGAAAAGAGGTGGTTACCCATGAGTGTTCCGTCGATCTTGAATTGAACAACGATCTTGTCGAACACAAATCTGGTAGTGACAATGATGGTGCGTTCCCGTCTATCAATACCAGATCTACAGTTGCAACATTTGTGAAGGTTGTGTCTGGCCTGTCGGATGTGAAAAGACAGGCAGTTCGTGAGATGGGGTTCGGCTACCTACTTGACATGAAGATAATATCATTGCCGCAAAAAATGGTATATTACCTAGTTGAGGCGAAAAGATACACGTGCGGGAAGATTACGTGTATGTTGTGCTAGGTTTGCCTCGTGGCCCACTCCAAATAACAACAAGCCAAAGAGAGTCGAGTCGAGCATACTTAACGAATGGATTGGACAATTCAACGTTAGAATGCCATCCAATATCACCGCAACTAAAGTGCTGGAGAAGATTGAAGAATGTGCAGATGGCGGCGATTGGTTCAAGAGGCATTTTGTGGTTCTGATGTTTACGTGCTTGTTCGAGAGTTCTCAGAATGGGATGGTAAATTTTCGTATCGTCCACCTACTCGATGATTTATCCAAGGTCGTCGACATGAACTGGTGTGCGTACATGATTAGTTGCCTCGTGAACACGAAAAAGTCGTGAGGCGGTAATGCTAAAACGAAGAAATATACAGGCCCTTTACTGTTTCTGACGGTTAGTTTTTATGTTAAGTATTTTTGTTGTCTGTATGATACACTTCATCCGTTTGTCTTTGTTTATGTTTAATTATTTTTTTATGGTTATGTTTTGGTGCGACTTTATAATGTGCTAATCAATTATGTTAATTGTTTTGTGTAGCTGTTATATGTGGACAAAGTAGTGTTGTCGATCAAAACCGTTATGAGAACCTTTCCGACACTTAGAGCTTGGAACAACGAACTACTAAAGCTTCGGGAGTGTGCTAATATAGAATCTGGGGCATTCGGTAAAGGATTTGTGGATGCGGATGCAAGTGTTTTGGAAGCTGAATGTTCAGATGTAATTGGTAAAATAACTTTTGGTGACGACATGACGCGTGGGTCAGAAAAATTCCCGTGTGTGTTGTTGATGTTTAATGTCTGCCGTTGTATGTCGCATTGTTGTAATATCATATGTTGATTGTGTATGATTTTTTTTTATTTATTTAGTTACTTTTTTTTTGTCTCACATACATTTGTGCACGAATTTGCTGCTAAAACTCGAATTCTCGCCACTACTGGTATTGAAATACTACGGCTTATCGAGAATGCACCACACATTCTATTTGAGGATGAAAAATTCATGAAGATGCAAGTTGCAGCACAAAAACTTCTCGGTGTTTCGGAGGATGACTCAAAGCTGCAGTCGAAATAGTATACTGTCAGTCCCCACACGAACATGCAAAAAGGGCCACCTGTTGTGGTTTTACCTACACATAACGTTGATGTGCACAATGAAGTCTTCAAGAGTAGCGTGACGCAGACAACAGATGATGCATTTCGGAACAATCCAGACACGTTGGCTGCGATAGATGCAATTGTGGAAGCAGTCGCACGCAGAGACAATTTCAGACGGATGCAACTAGATGTCCTTAGCTTCAGCTTGGGCTTGGGTCTTTCTTCAGATGATGACGAACCAATGGCAGGTGTAGTTGGCGTCTCAGCCAGGCTAGATACACCAACATGTATGTTACAATGAATTTTCTATGCGTACGATTTATTCGTTTGTTATTTATTATTATTATATTATTTTTTCGTTGTTGTTTTGACTGTAATCTTATATAGATGCACTTTTTTATGGTTTCGTGTCGTTTATTATTTTTTCCCCAGCTAACTGTGTGATCGATAACAATGTTGGCATGGATGATGCTGGGGTCGGTATTATACGAGGTACGTAAAATGGTAGTTTTGCAGTTGTTTATTCTATTTTAATTTGTAAGGGTGTGTTTTAGAGTTCATTTGTGTATGTAATTGTGCAAGGGTTGTTGTGGAATGCACATATGCTGTGAGTGTTTATGTTGTTTTTTTCCTCGTGTGCGTAGATGACGTTGTTGTGTCCGAGCATCTTGATGATGGTGAAACGCGTATAAATTTGGCTGATGTTCACGTAACTCAAGGTGTGTATTACGAATGTATTATAGCTGATCACATTAATTACATTGTATGACAATTTATTTTTATGTTAATTTATACACGTAAGTAGGTATTGTTTGTGATGATGGCCTGGATGGAAACTCGAGGCCGAAGAGGCTAACAAACGTGACTAGTGCAATCAAGTCGCCATATATGCGGAGGGTGATTAATGTGAATAAGAAACTAGATGGACGGGAGAAGATGGTAGTTAATTGGGTTCTAAAGAATGATGTTGATGTCGAGTAAGTTTTTCTTTCTTTGATACGTGTTGGTATTTGTTTTTTTTTTTTTTTTTTTTTTTGGTTTTTTAATTATAAACTAGCATTAATAACAATATACATAATATTACTGAATAATTATTTGTCTTTAGTTTTTATCTGAACGTCTTTTCTTTTCTCGTTATGCATGTGTACCAAGGAACATCGAGACAATTATATTCCAAACACCTGAATACTTTGCATCGAGGTCGGACATGATGTGTCTGATGCCAAACAATGATATTACCAGCACGATGAGAGACTTATGGGCCTTTATTCATAATCATCTACGGCCCCGTGCAACGAGGTATGTTATGTAATTTTATTTGAAATATACTAGCATCCATGTAAATGTTTTTGAGTTCACACAATATTGCTATAATGTTTTGTGTCGTCCGTGTATATTTGCAGCTATTTTTCGAGGGCAAGAGAGGGAAGGACGTGATATACAAGAAGTTTTCTAGTTGCCTTGAGTCGGATATTGGGCGGAAGCCCGTGTACAACCTAAAACAAATATCAGTGGTGAGTTCAATGTGATTGCGTTTGTGTGGTCTTTGTTGTTCTCAAATTTACACAAGAAATGATGCGGTGCTCTAGATTTGTTTTAATGCATATGTGTAAGCACGTCTGATATTGATTGTGTTGATGTGTTTTTTCTGATAAATGATGATTATAAACTTGTTGTATTGCATGTGATTATTGGAGAATAAAATAATGTTTTTGTTTAAATATTTGTCATGTACCCAATATAGAATTAGATTAATATTTTACTTAGTTATTTTATATTAATTTATGTTATGATTGGTAATGGGCTTGGGCTTGGGTTTTTGCTTTTATATTAGTAGGTTAATATTGTTGGGCTTTTGTAAAGAAATTCTATAAGTATGTGTAATGTGGAAAAAAAAGAAGAGAAAGAATTACATCACAAAATTCTACTCTCTAATATTCTCTCTCTCTTCAATATTCTCTCCCTCACGTGCTCTTTTCTTCATCTCCCTCTATCTGTATCTATCTCCCTCACCAACTCTCTATCTACAAAAAATACAGAAAACTCATACAAAAAATTACAAATCATATTGGTTCATAACAATTGGTATTCAGAGCGGTCGATCCTCGGCGATGGCAGACGAGCTCTTTCTCGATCAACTAGAAAAGCAATAAAAAATGTTAGAACACAAGATGCAGCTGGAAATTCAGAAACGAGAGGTCAACCATTTGAAGATACAAAGCCAAATCGATGGGTTCAAATCAAACATCCATGGGATCAAATCAAATTCTCAGTTGCATATGATTGGATTAAATCAAAAATTGGATCAAGCCATTCAGGTAGCTGAATCCATTCAACAACTCCTTTTTTCATTATTAAAAACAAAAATCAGAAAACAACAAAACCACCATTCTCAGCACCAGAACCAACATCCTTAGCCAAAAAGAAACTTACACTTGAAGCCCTCACTCATTCCCAGTTAGCCCCAAACATCACTTCTAATTTTGATCTGCAATTTCGTAGCCCTCCAGAATCTCAACCAATTTTTCATGAGATTTGTGAGAAAAATATTGAAGGTGAGGGCGTGTTGATCAAAAACACAAACGAAGTCTTTAAAAAAGAGATTGAACCTCAAATCACCCAGTATGAGGCCTCGTTGAAATTTTTTTATGGAGAGTCAAAACAAGAGCCAATATGTGTTGCTGTTACCGAGCATACACGGCCGAAAACTATATAACAACCGAATCCTATTTCTGAAGCTTTCACTACCCCTGAGATGAAATCCCCCAGCAACCCAGAACCCCCTCAAAATTTTCAAGAAAGTCACACAAAAATATTCTCACCGATGCAAACAGTACCGCAAATCGATGAATCTGTTGAGGTTTTATATCTGGCTGCAGTGGATAACTGAAAATCAACAAATGGGGAGACCGACGAAGTGCTCGACCTTACTGGAGATGGTGAAGGTGTACTGGTACAGTAACAGGGCCAAGAGAAGACGGTAACGTTGAGATGGACGTACTTCGTGATAGATCGTGGAAGACGAGCACGAGGCGAGGGCTGTGTGGAGAAGGCAAGGGACGACGGCCTAGAAGAGGCTTGGTGTCGCCGGTCTCCGAAACGTGTCGATAGCTGTAGATCTTACTCACGAAGAACCACGAAGGAGCGGAGCTGGTCCTTCCTCGTCGGAGTTGCAGCAGCGACGAACGAAAAAGGTAAGGGGATTCGCCGTCAGACCTGCCGGCCTCGCGGTTACGAGAAGAACCAAAACGGCTGTCGGGAAAAGGCTAAGATCCATCAAATTCACAATAGCGGCAAGCGTTCGGAAGCGTGGTCTTGCCGGATGCGGAAACGCGGTGGTGGATCGGGAATTCAAACTGAAATCATGAAAGAGGTCCGCAGCCACGGAGGAGCCTAGAAACACGGCGGTCGGTTAGAAGCTTGGTCTCGCCGGCTTCCAAAAAAATGGCAGTCAGTCGATTGCTCTTGCCGGATCGCTAAAACGCGAAGGTCACCGGCGCCGGATTTTGAAGGGTCGAGAATTATTTCTGCGGCCGTGGATGATTCTGGAAGTCGAAAAGGAGTTGGGAACTGGGCTGACAATATTGTGATGATTTATCGACCAATATCACTTATTTTATTGGATTGTGGCTCATTTTCTGGTATTTGGACGGAGCCCATTGGCCTTATCGATTTGGAGTGGATCTTTCGGGCTTGGTCATTCAATTTAGTGAGTTTTAAACTTTGGGCGGTAAGTTTGATGTTCTATGGGCAAGATGGATTGGTTCATTTCAAGTGCAGCCAAGATGGATCGGGACTGGGCCCAATCACAATTGGTTTTGGCTTCAATTCGGCAATTTAATAGGCTTCATAACTTGGGTCGTAGACGTTCTTCTTGTGCGCTTCACGGAATGTCGAGTTTTTTGGATGCAATGCTATTTTCAAACATATGAGTCTCGGGGACGAGACTCTTTCGAGAAGGGAGTATTGTCATGTACCCGATATAGAATTAGATTAATATTTTACTTAGTTATTTTATATTAATTTATGTTATGATTGGTAATGGGCTTGGGCTTGGGTCTTAGCTTTTATATTAGTAGGTTAATATTGTTGGGCTTTTGTAAGGAAATTCTATAAGTATGTGTAATGTGGAAAAAAAGAAGAGAAAGAAACTACATCACAAAATTCTACTCTCTAATATTCTCTCTCTCTTCAATATTCTCTCCCTCACGTGCTCTTTTCTTCATCTCTCTCTATCTGTATCTATCTCCCTCACCAACTCTCTATCTACAAAAATTACAAAAAATACAGAAAACTCATACAAAAAAATTCAAATCATATTGGTTCATAACAATATTTTTGTTATGCGATTACTTGTGGTCATGTAATTATGTAACAAACACATCCTGTATTTTTTGTGGATACTGTAGTTTTTATTTCCTGTACACTCGGGGACATTTTCTGGTTTGTTGTGTTTTGCGAAAGACACACAAAAGTATACGGTGTTGGACAGCGCTGGTTCCTGTAGAGACATGTCGGTTAAGGCAAAAGTCATGGCACAGGTTGATATGCTTGTAAGTGTGATGATATGTATACGACTTGTTATCATGAGTGCTCCCCATGTTGTATATCAGTAGTTTGTTAGTAATTCGTTATATTAATTTGTCATGTTAACACAGAAAGTTCGTTCTCCAAATACGTAGGCGAGAGGAACATGACGAAGTTTTCTAAGATCGTTGGATTGTCTATTCCAGAAATAGTCGTTCCGACTTGGACAGAGGTTGTTGATATGGTAGACAGTGGGGTGGTCACTATGCGGCACATGGAGACATTCAAAGGGACCGATTTGCAAGGCTTAAATACAAATACAAAGAAGGCATACAAGGGGCAAATGAAGCTAATGAGAAAGCGATACTGCTATGTAATAGCATGTGCTCCAAATAATAAGGTGAAGGATGTAAACCTCGATGAAGCTAATCAATTTCACCCATTGTATATAAGGAAGAAGCAAGCTCGTGTTGCTGCCGCTTGATGTTTGCTCCAAGCTTGAAAGTTTTTGGGGCTTAGCCTTGTGGCGTTCTTTCCAATTACTTTTTTTTTTCTTCTTTTGTTTTTTATTTTTTTTTTCTTTTTATGGACGATGTAGTTTTTGTGCAGCTTCAGCCGACAGCCAACATATGGATATGGTATATGTGATGTGTCGGTGATTATATTCCTTTTTGTGGATGCCTATGCGACGAAAGCAAACGTTTGGTACAGATCGATTATCGGTTTTGTGAATGATGATCGGAATTGAGTGGTGTGAATATGTTTGGTTTCTGCTGTATGGAATGGTTATGAATATTGAAGTATTATGATGCATTTGGTAATGTTATAATTATAGTTCTCATCGTGATTTAGCTCTTTTCGTTGAATGTCTTCTTATTGTTATCTTTCAGTGGTTATAATTTGGCCTGGAATGGTAGTATACATTATGTGCAATGGTGTTGTCACTAATGTGCAAGATAATACAGTATACTGTGCAAACACCGCGCAATGTACAACATGTGTCCATATATTGATGGTATACATAATGTGCAACGTTATCGTAAATAATGTGCACGGCGCTACTGTATAATGTGCGATTGTTTGTTCATGTTGATAATATTGATATTAGTGGGCTATGTACACACATCATGTTTTATATTAGTGTTGTGTTGTTTATGCATAGTATATTATACATCTGTCCATATATTGATTGTATACATAATGTGCAACGTCAATGTAAATAATGTGCACGATGCTACTGTATAATGTGCAATTGTTTGTTCATGTTGATAATATTGATATTAGTAGGCTATGTACACACATCATGTTTTGCATTAGTGTTGTGTTGTTTATGCATAGTATATATAATAGTTTGCCAATTGATATTATTCGAACGTCCGACCCAAATTAACTCAAACGGTTCGCGTGGTTGGACATCATGCACGTGGTATGATTTTCATAATGGAAGGGTTCGTGTGTATACATGTTGTTTTATGAAAAATGAGGTTCGAGTACTGGAATAACAGTGCGCGTTCTTTATGTACTATAGTGATGATTGGTGTTCGATTCAATACTCATTTATAATGTGCAGTCATGATATAACTATTGTGCTATAATGTACTATATAATGTGCATGATATTAGTTNAGACATTTTATCAGGCCTGTTTGCATTATTTATGGAATGTACTGATTGTGATAAAAATAAAACACACGAGTAATAACAACAACAACAAATCTAACAATAAATAATAAACAAGAAAAAAAAACAAATAAACAATAATAATATTAAAATACTGTTCCGTTGCAATACCATGTTGCATTAAACATAAAGACATCATTCAAAGTATTAATGTGATAAAACGATTCATATCACTGTATCAACATTGGTTATTATCGCGCGTGAATTAAAGTACATCTCAATCGACAGCTGAAGATATAGTGTCCTTGTGCCATGGTAAATTCACCGGATGATTGTGTCTGCGTGTGAAAAACAAAAAACAAACAAACAAATAAAAAAAATTGTTAGTTTATATATATTTTTTTTGAAATAGAACAGTAAGGATGTACGTACGAGATGCCATTTTATGGGTTTAAGACGTAGCACGCTGTTTCTTGGGACATGTACGGGTATTGTGGCCCGCTCTCTCGCCACATGTCTTGCATACACGTCTTTTTTTCATGCTTTTTTCAATGCCTGCTCCTTTCCACTCTTGAGCCGTTTCCCACTGCCCTGTGCAGGAGGGTGAATACTCACTTCCTGGGGGGGGGGAGACGAGCCGACGAACGATTCAAAATGATGTTCTTTGGTGATTCCACTGGGAACACTTTCCTGTTCAACCATTATTTATGCTTGTGGTTTCTGATAAGTATCGAGAACTCAACAAGACATTCAACTGATGTCTCGGCTATCCCCATGCACAGATGTATGTCAGACGAAAGTTTGTTCACCATGAATTTTCGATCATCTATGTGAGCACATTGTTCAGTTAGCCCATCGAGAATGCAAAACATTGGATTTAGAATGCCCGTTTTTGTCCATCTCGACAAAATATGAACGCTCGGTATAAGCTCGATGTTCATGTCCTTCAGTACAACAAATATGTGTTTACACAGCCAACCAAGCATTTCAAAATGTTTGCAAGAGCATGTGGAGGACTTCATGTTCATGTTGTATGACACCACAAACATTCTGCCATTAACCTCTTTGATTTTGAATGTCATCTGACCATTGTCTTCCGAAATACTCATAACACGACAATTGAAACATGTTGCACATATTTCCTTTTGCACAAGATAAAATATGCTCGTTGTATATACATTTAATTCATGCTTCTCAATAGGCAACGGGGTCTTTAAGTCTGCTAGATGGATTCATTGTCCGCTTGTAATTTCATAGACGTGTTCCGTTGTGCATCCATTGCACTCTCAAAGTGTAGTAGGAACTCAACTAGGCTAGCGTGGTTATTTGTGAAATGTCCAAACCAACTGTTCTCACATTCGGATCTAGACGTAGTCCTCATTAATCCGCTCATTTTAACATTTCTGAAAAATGCCGGAATCCAATGTTCCCGCTTTGCAAACAAACCAACTATGGGTTTCCAAATTATAGACATGCATGAGTGCATACCATTTTATTTCAAACTCAGCTGGTTCTATGTTCCGACTCCAAACTATTTCGTTAAGCTTTGTTTTGAAATCAGCCTCATTGTACAAACAGTGCCCAACTTTGTCACACAATTTTGACATTATGTGCCACATGCAAAATCGATGTCGGGTAGTATTAAATACCTTTGAAAATGAAATTCCAATTGAGGGATCTTGATCAGTGACCATGTATTCCGGATCTTGAATCATGGCATTCTTGAAATTTTCAAAGACCCATACGTAAGAACCAACGTCCTCCTTGGATATCAACGCTGTTGCGAACGTAATACACTTGTTATGGTTATCTATCCCAGTAAAGGGGGCAAAAACCATATTGTATCTGCAAAACAAACATGTTTTTAAGAATGTCACAATATAATGTGCACAATTTATGATGTATTGTGCAAAATATTACAATGTATTGTGCATTCCTGAACAGTTCCATCAGACGTGTACCTGTTCGTGCGATACGTTGCATCAAACGTCACAACATCCCCAAACGACCCATAATTTCTCCTTGAAATTGGATCGGCCCAGAAAAGTCGGCATAAACAATCATTTTCGTCTAGTTCATAATGAAAATAAAAGGCAGAGCTGGTCTCTTGTCTCTTGTAGAACTTTTCGATAACTAACTGTGCATCCGCTCCAGAAATGTATGAAAGGAGCTCGCGTTTGAAGTTTTTGAAGTCAACGCTAGTGGCACCTATGTTTGAGCATCCGCCCACCACCGCTTTGTACAACTTGTACGACTTGATAGGGCCAATATTGGCCTTTATACAGTTCAAGACGAACGCCTGGTGCCCTGCATTCATTGTTTGGCTGAGTCTGAGGTGTTGTCTACATTCATCAGAGACCATCGAATGGTTATGCCTCTCCTCAACACCCACTGGTCCCGTCCACGCGCAGCGCTATCCTAGAAATGCATCCCACTCGGTTGGACACTCTACGTCTTATTACACTTCCTTCAGTTTGGATTGAATGATTCGGTTGTGAATGGTGCTTATAACCCTCTCGTGAGCATACTAAGTACCTCCAAATGGTGGTCTTATCCTTCGCCTTAATCAACGTGCTGTGTCGTACGTCAAAACGAACAACGCAAGCATACTCTTTGTAGAAGTCAATTACAGCATCTATGGATTGAAATTTTTGTCCCTTACGCGGCTTAAGTGACTTGTCACAGTCCGGTATCCAGTATTTGGTACCTCCAGGTGTGATCGAGAGGTGTTGACGACCCGCATACGGTTGTGTTCCTACGGAAGTACGAGAGAATATCAGGAGAGTGCATAATTATGCACATCATAATGAACACAAGTATCATGACGTATGAACATTATATAGGTACCACATTAGTGTCATATAATGACACAACTGCGTTCATACTCACTAATCAGCTTTTGTGCTTCACATTATACTGAATACACAATTATGTTTGGAGGTTTGCAAAATTACTAAAAAATACTTGCACAAAACATAATAACAACCATCGTCCAGATTAAAGTGTAATTAAATATCGGTATACATTAGAACATGAACTACCTGTTTGAGTAACATTCAAATCCATCGCTGATGAAGGCAAGGGAATGCAAGATGTTTCAATGAACCTGAAGATTTATATACATATATATATATATATATGTATAAAAAAATCATAGTAATAATAATAACATTAACCTCCATCATCCACATCTGCATTAATTTCTTATTCAGACAATTTCGAGTGCTTATTAATTAATTGCTTGATCAATCGGACAATTTCGAGTCCATCGTAATTACATTAAGGCAAAAAAAAATACCATAATCTCATCTGAATATCACAATATATTTGTGTATGCTGAGCTATTATTCACCTCGTTGAAGCCCTAATTTGCAATAAAAAACGTACCTCGTTCAAGCCCTAATTTCTCTTTTCGATCGCTTAAATGATGGATCTCGTGCCGCGAAACATGTTTTAGACCAGGCGTGGAGTCATCGTTCCTGATTGAGTTTTTTTTTTTTTCAATCGAGAATTTGGGGGTAATCGGTGTGTTCATTCTTATTTTCAGCATGATGTCCATGTTGCAAGTTACTCTTTTGCCCTTAATTGTTATATTGTGTCACCTGCTAGATGTCGTCGGATGCATCAGATCCTACGAATGGCAGATATTCTTATTTCTTTCGTAGTCAACCATTCTCACCGGAGCGTGACCCTATATATATATAATTGCTGGCTAATAGCATTTAATTAAATATTTAATAAAAATCATTTCAATTTCTCTCCAAAAATCGTTACAAACTTTATCGTTTATATCTCTCTCTATATTTAATTACCAACAATAAATTTAACAATATTAATTATTGTTTACCTTCTTTTTATGTCACAATCTTCTATTATTATTATTATTAATCCATCATACCTAATTAATGCTAAAATATTTTATTGCACTTTTTATGGTTAATTAAAACAAAACTGTTACATTTTATATTAATGGAGTAATAATTATATTATTTTATTATATCATATAATAGTTGTTATTAAAACTAATAACTATAGTTTACACTAAATCATATATGAAAATTACATAAACATAAAAAAATATTGTAATCTTTTTGCTAAAGTTATTTATTCTAAAATTAATATTATATTTTTTTTTATCTTATTTAGCGATTGTATTTTTACATAAGTTGATTTATTTTAATGTTATATTAAAATTCCTTAAGATCGCATAATCAAATGTTATAATAAATTTAATATTTTTAAGCTAATAAATTGGCAATGTCTCAAAATTACATTATGTATTATATTTTATGTAATTAATATAGTGGGTCATATGCAATCAAATAGTTATGTACTATTTATTTTAACCAATGATCAAATTTTAAAACATAATATCATTATTTTATTTATATTTTTTATTATTATATGCATAAATATAACTTATAATACTCTATGTTTAAAATATAATATCATTTTGTGTAACTTATAATTTTAATACTAGCATAAATATAACTTATAATATTCTATTTACACTGTGCAAATGCACAGGGTCGAATACTAGTTAAATAAGTTAGGCTCTGTCCGTTTAAGTCTAAAAAGCAATAGAGTTATCATCTATTTTCCACCTCTTTTAATCAGTGTTAAGTCTAGAAAACAATAGAGTTATAACTAATATATTATCTCACAAACAAATTTATACTAATATAAATTTAATTTTAATATATATATATATATATATTTATTCCTATGTCATATCCATCCAACATCCAACGCTAACCCTTCTCTCGGCGATTTTTTCTTCGGCTTTTACCTCCCGCTGCTCCACTCCTTTCGACCGAATTGACCTCTTCCGGCGATGGCGACGCCGTTTCTGCGGCCGTCGCTGGCCGCCCATTCCCCCCTTGCCGTTGTTTTTCCTCGGTTTTGCAGCCATAGCATTTTCTTTCGTCTCTCTCATCTGGTGGTGGGTTGGAGAACTGCGGCGGTTCCCGATTGTAATCCGGTGTCTTTGATGCTGCTCGTTGCGATTGGGAGTCTATTGGTTAGTTTTCTATCTTGATTTGGTTCTGTTTGGTGGATTTGATTATCGGTGAGTTTGGGGGTTAGGGTTCGATTTGGGGCTCTGTGATTTCTCCGACGGGGTCGTCTGTCAGAGCTTGTTTCGGCCCGTTTGGGTGTAGGGTTGGTGGTTCTGAGTGGTGGTGTGGGTTTGGGCCGCTTAGCCGGGGCTCGGCTTCCTGCTGGGTAGCTGGCTGAAGTGGCGGGAGGGCGATTGAGAGTCTGCGGCTGTGGAGGCGGGTCGGCAATGGTGGTGGTTGGGTGGGGCTCTGGTGGCTGTTGTGTGTCTCATGTGGTGGTTGCCGGAGTTGGAGTTCGGGCAGGTAGCATCTATCCTGGTGCAGCTCGGTTTGGGTTGCGTGGGATCCGGTTTTCTCGACCTGGGCTAGTGGTGTTACCCTAGTTCGGGTGGCTGCGCCTGTTCTCCTCGGTCAGTGGGTGCTGTCCTTTGGTTGGGTTCGGGGGCGGGGCCCTACCTCTTGTTAGGCCTTCGGCAGTTTCGGGGGTTGGGGCTTTGCTAGGGGCCTATCATTTGGTCAGTTGTAGCTGCTTTTTCGGCTTAGTTGTTTCTCCGGGGGAGGGTCGTTTTATTTTCTTCAGTGTGTTCGTTCTGTGTATTTTTTTTCGGGTTGTTGTAGTTTTTGTTCAGTGTGTTTGTTTGTCTTTGTTTGGAAATGAATACAGGCTAGGCATTGTGCAGTGGTTCTGTAATTTATTTTCCTTTATTTTCGGTTGTGGAGTTCTCTAGGCCGCTATGTGCGTGTCCTCTCAGTTTTCTATTCCTATTCTTTTATTAGGCGTGGTTTTGGTTTGGGCCGTTGGCCCCTGTCTCATTACCCTGTTGGGGTCTTAGGGATTACCCTGTTGGGGTCTTGTAATTTGTTCTCTTTGCACTTTTGTGCTTTTTATAGTACATCTATCGTTCTGGGAAAAAAAAATATATATATATTTATTCCTTGATATAAGAGAAAATAACAGTTTTACTTGTTCACCATATAATACTTAATTATTATTTTATTATAAACTTTGTTGTAATATAATTTCATTATTTATAAAAGTTATAGAAGTTGTGCATCTTCTTTTTATTTTTTATTTTATGTAATGAAAAATATTTAATGAACGCCAATATTATTTGTTTATGTAATCAATTTAAAATATGTAAATAAATCTAAAATTAAGTGTATAAATATTTTACAAAATATACACACATATTTTTTTAGAATTTAGTTTTGGTCATTATCTCTTAAAGGTATCTGATCATTATTTCTTAAATGTATCTGGTCATTGAAGTGTATAAAACTATTTAATGTATCTAGTCATTATCTCTTAAATGGTAAATTATATTAATTAGAAAATAATTTATTTTTTATATATAATGAAATAAAGCTTAATAAAAAATTATATTGGCAAAGATTAATTCACCAACTTAATTTCGCTTGATTATTAGGAAGAAAAAATTCTACCTAACCTGGTACAATTTTTTATAAATATTTTTGGATAAAAATTGAATATTTATGAAAAAAATAATATTATGATTAGTACTTAAAATATGTTGTAATATTTATCTTGGCCAAAATATTATCAACTTGAATCACGAAAAATTAATTTAATAATTTATTATAATGGATATCAATGAAATTATTGCAGATACTAATAAAATTATTTAAAAAAATAATATTTTTTTATCATGTATGCTTTGATTTCATTTGAAAACATATATATGGAAGCAATTAATGCATATATTTAAAAAGTTTCTAAAAAAATATATGCATTAAATGCTCCCAAATTTTTTTACTACTATTTTTAGTAAATAGTTATTCCTATTATATAGATATAGATATAGATATAGGTTTTAATAACATTAGAAATTGATATCATATATAATATTAATGATAATAAATATTCCAGTTACACTTTTTTTTGTTATAATATAATATTCCAATTACACTTTTATCTTACATCAATTACACTTTCTTTTTTTTTTGGACTGGTCAATTACACTTTTCAAAACAACTAAAATTCTTTTTCGTCCATCCCATAGCCAAAACCAAAAAATATCTTTTCAATCTCCTCCTAAGTCCTAATGTATTGTCATTTTCCAAGTCCTAACATATTGTTAGACTTGACTCATTTTTGTAGACTACTATACTTTTTATATTATTNTTACCGGAATGTTTGTGGATGTCCACATCTGCACGGTCTGCTTGCTTTCCAAAAAAATTATTATTCAATACCGCCCCATTTACTGCTTATCGCCCCAAAAGAAATTTTACTCTTAACAATTTTCTTTTTAAAAAAAAAAAAAAAAATTCTCCGGCCGGCCATAATCGTGCCGGCCGGTTTTTGCTGGTTGGGCGCACTGTGCACGGCCTCTTTTCCCGATTGGGCACACCGTGCACGGCCGGTTCTACCGGCCGGCCGACAGAATTTTTTTTTATAATTAAATTTTTATTTATTATATAAATAAACTAATTATTCCGGTACAATTTTAATCTGGTTTGAGATAAAAGTTCGACTCATTCGGATTGCACATTATTGACCGAAACTGTGCACAATATGGTTAGATGAATTGCACATTATTGACCTACAGACTGCACAAAACCGAATAGACAAAATATCTCGGTTCGAATAATTATATTTCAATTTGTTTATTTGTTTTTTTCTTTATTTTTAAAAAATTAGTTATTTTTACTGAAAAATAATAATATAATGTATTAAATAAACATATAAAATATCAAAAATATCGACGCTAACCGATAATAATATTGTGTATATATTAACCAATTTTTTTAAACTATTGATGCCAACTGAATGCATGTTTAATATATATTTTTTCTAATGTCAATGCCAAAAATATAATTTTACAGGATAAAATAATATTTTGTTTAAGTTATTTTAATTAGTTAGGTTAACCGATCGAATAAACTAATGAATTCGGTTCATTTGTTTGATTTAGTTTGAGACAGAAAGTTCTACCAATTCAGACTGCGCAATACTGACTGAAACCGTGCACAATATAATTATATGCGTTGCACATTGATGACTATCATACCGCATAACATCGATCGAACTAAACGTTTTGTTCAAATTTTTATATTTCAGTCTAATTGTCTGTTTTTTACTTTTTAAAGCTTCAGTTATTTTTATCCAAAAAAAATTAAAATTAATATATAAACATATAAAAATATTAAATATATCGACGCCCACCTTATATTGACCGAATTTTTCAGAGTAACGACACCAACCGAATACAAATTTATATATTTTTCCATACATTCATAGTAAATATATTTTTTATGATATTAATAATATTTCATTTCAACTAATTTGGTTAATTCGGTAAATAACCGAAATACGCCAATTAATTCAGTTCAACTTTTTTGTTGGTTTTAAGTAAATGTTCGACCGGTCCAGACTGCACAATAGCGGCTGAAATTATGCACTTTATGGTTAGACAAATTGCACATTAATGATTGCTGGGCACAACAACAAGTAGACTAAATATTTATGTTTCGATCACCTGTTTTTTTTTTTTTTTTTTTTAAGTTCGGTTATTTATGCAAAACAAAGTAATATAACTATCAAATATGTATATAAAGATATCAGAATAACGACGCCAACCGATTGACAATGTTGTGTATATATTGACTGAATTTTTCAAAATATCGACAGTAACCGAATACACGTTTAATACATTTTATTTGATAATGTATTTTTTGAAACCCATGTAATACACATTGAATTAATTGTTAATTTTTTCAAAATTTTGAATTGGTCAGTCGGTTCGACCGAACCGACAAATGACATTGGCACTGTTGTGCATTTATTTATTGTTATTGTGAAATTTTTGAACTTTTATTATGCATAAACATTGACACTGATGTGCACTTTTTTATTGTTACTAGTATGGTGCCCGTGCGATGCACGGGAGCATTTATTATATATATATTCTTTAAAAAATATTTTTGTATTTAAATTGTCTCTTGCCATTAAAAATTTCATGAAAATAAAATTTATATGTTATTAAACACTTCCTTATGTACAACATTATTGATTTGATTCTTTGGCACGTAAAGTACTACATAGGTGTTCGAATTTTTCCAAAATTGCATATTATTAGTTATTAGTCAACAAATTTTAAAAAAAATTAAAAGATCTTATGTATTGAACAAAATTAAAGTACAAAAAAGAGTAAATTTTTTTAAGGATTTTCACTTATTATTTATTTTAAATCTAATTCTAAATTTCAATTAAGAAAAATTGAAAAAAATCATTACTTAGTTCCGGAAATGAAACCAATTTTCCTACCAATAAACCGATTTTTTTATCAAACAAATTGATCCGATTTTTTTTTTAAACCAAATAAAAAAAAATCATCATTTTTTTCTAAAAATGCAACCAATTTTTCTAACATTGCACCAATTTTTGTACCAAACAAATTGAATTGAAAATAATTCTAATAAAAAATTAAAATAAATTGTTAATGTTTATGAAACTGTCTCTTTTCTAAAGAAAATGATATGAACTTAACCAAAAAATAAATAAAAATAATATGAACTTACCGAAATCTCGGTAAAATATGGTTAAGAAAAAACATAAGAATCCAAAAAAATCGATGTATTTAAATTTTGAAAAGTTGCACATAATTTTTCCTAAATAATTGGATAAGGTGACTTTAAATATCAATGATGAACAACTTTTGTTACCAAAAAATGTGGACACGATTTTGAATGTACATTCCGTCCAAATATCAGTTTTATTTTAAAATAAAAATTGCACGTGGCTTTATCCAATTTACACAATTCTTTTGAAAGAAAAAATTATTCAATAAGATTGGAAGAATTGGTTAAGAATTATACAACTATTTCCTTCCTAAATTTGTATCCAATTTGCACGGTTTGCATAAGAATCTCCAAATTTGTTACCAAAAATAATATGATTTAAATTTTGGTAAAAAAATAAAATAAGATACGAAAAATATGGGATTCAAATTTTGCCATAAGAATCTCCAAATTTGTTACCAAAAAAATAGTATTTAGATTTTGTTACTAAAGATTCACATGTGTCTTTTTGAATTTTCCATTAATAGTAAGTCAAACATTATATTTATTTGATCAAACTTTCTATTAATGTATTTTTCCAACAACTTCTTTATATATATATATATAGATATAGATATAGATTGTGTATTTATTGTTTTTTATAAATTATGTATCTAACACATTTATTAAAGTGTAATATGTTTAAAATTCTTGAAAATTGCATATAAGTCCTTGCACCTTATCTAATTTACAAAATTCAGTCTCATCCCCAATTCAGACCCAAACACAATATCTCTAGGCCTCTTTTCAAATTAATCCACCAGCCCCGCCGGACCACTGTGCGTGTGCTCATCATCACCTCGTCCGACCTGAGTCTGACGCCATATCTGCCGGCGACATCACAAACTCCCTCAATTAATAGTTTTGGTCGGTTCGCTGAAAGAGTGGATCGTTGCCCGCCGGCTCCGCGACCAGAATTTGCCCTCGAACCTCATATTACTGTCGTATTTAACGGCCGTGAGGTTCTTTAACCTTCAGATGTTTGTCGGGATCTCGACGATGAACCACCCGCCAGATCTGTGATCGGTGCTTGAGGTCGGCAGAGATGTGGTGGTCGTACCTTGACACGTACAGTGACGGCGGAGGAGAGTGGTAGGAGACGGCTAAGGTCGGCAATGCGAGTTTTGTGGTTAACCGCCGGCGGATCTGTGGTGGCTGTGGCGGACTTGGTTGGGTAATGGAGGCGGCGATGAACTGTGGCGATGATATTGATGTAATCGGCACGAATGTTGGCGGGCGGTCGCCGGCGGTAGGAAGAGGAGGACTGTTGATGGAGGTGGCGGCGGTCGTCGGTCACCGGCGGGGGACATGGTGGTCGGTTCCTATCTCGTGTGTGTGTGTGTGAGAGGATTGTGTGCGTGTGTGGTGATATTTTTTTGTGTGTGTTTTAGAGTGTGAGAGAGGTTAGTGTGGGGTTCACTAGATTTGTTATTGTTGTGTGATGACCATTATACCCTTAATTTGCGGTAGAATGCACATATTTGACCTCTAAATTTCTAAATATTTACCATAATGCCATCATATGTTTGACTGAAATTATAAAAGTTTGACTTGATCCTGATTATTTACTTAATGGATCCATTGATCCACTTTTATTCTCATTTCTTTCATTATCCCATATTCTCCTTGGATCCTATCTCTAAATATGTATATATTATAATATATTTATATCATAATATATACTAGTACGTAACCCGTGCGATGCACGGGATGTAAAATTTGGAAGAATAATATAACCTCACGTGCATTAGGATCGAAATTGAAATCATTAAAATACATAGGAACATTGTTGAATCATAAAACGTTCGGTAACAATAATATATTATTAAAAATCTTCTTGTACACCACATTATGCGTTTGATTATTTGGTAACTCCTCATTATCACAAACTAATATTTTCAAAAGAGACAAATCCTAAAAATCAAACTAATATTTTTGGTGAACAAACTAATATTTTAGGATTGGTGAACAAACTAATATTTTAAGATTTCTAGTATTTGTCTCTTTTTGGTGAACAAACTAATATTTTAGGATTGATTATATGAATAAGGCTACCTGTTTTTGGTGTTCTTTTCATTCATTTTCATTCAAACAATTCGATGATTTGTATAATGAAATCCGAATCTTAAGTCGAAATATTTAAAAAGAGTTTTTAAAAATTGAAAAGTCAAGGCAATCAGTTTAGATTAATTAAAGTCAAAGAATATCCGCGCCTTGAAATAAAGACGTGTGCTATCTTTAATCAAATATTCGGTTATTGATATAGAGTGGTTACCAAAAAATAAAACGCGATAAGGACGCTTCATGGAAATATCAATGGGATAAGGTCATAACAAATCGCTATACATTTTAACGATAAAAGCTCAGATGGAATGATTTATGATAATTATATCGTAATTAATGAATTAATTAGATGTGTGAAAATGACATAATTAATGAGAAGTATGAAAAAGGACATAATTAATGAGAAGTGTGAAAATGACATAATTAATGAGAAGTGTGAAAAGGACAAAAACTTACCGATTTTGAAAAATATTTAATGCAAATCCGACATTGACCATAGTTTGACCTACTATTTTGGATAAATGTTAATTCTTATTATATAAGTATAGATTATATAATATATATTATTTTTTTATTTGGACGGGCTGCGTGGGCTGGCCCGTTTAGGACCGCTACGGGCCTTTTTGACGACTCTATTTTTAACATACAGAAATCTTACATTTGTGGGCAAGAAAAAAGTCGATCGACCGTGTCGAAGGAAAAAGGCAAAAGGGGCATGAAGACAAAAATAGGCAAGGAACCCAGAAATAGAATAGAATGCGGCGTGGAATCTGGAAAACAAGAAGCTCAAGAAATGACCTAAGGATCGCTTTTCCCTGTCAGAAAAGTTTGCGTACGTGCATGCACTCATCATACCCACATACATACATACACTCTATGTCAATCTTCCTATAACTACACATACAAACATTATATCGTTTTTAAATGTGAATTTTCTTGTGAGAAACTCATATTGGGATATAGAAGAAAATTACAAATGGACGAGGAACTGAGAAAACGGACGAGGACAACAATGTTGGACCAACTCGAAGAGGTATATCTCTTACATTTATTAATTTCCCTTATTTGGAAAAATATTGTAATTGTAATATGTGTTAATTTTTTACTATATATGCTTAGGAGAGAACTTCCCCCGTGCTCGAAACTATTGAAAGTGAAAGTGATGAGGCTGCTGGCACCACCACTTCTGATGAATCTGATGAAGAGTTGGAGTTTAGTGATGAAGAATTCTTTTATGGTGGAGTACAATGTGCGGTCTAAATAATTTATGTGTTTTAAATATTGATTTCCCTTGATTTTGATCCCATGTTCCTAATACTTATGCCATGGCAGTTGGAGTAGAGTTATCGGAGGATACCGAGTATGATGATTTCGACTTTTATCAGGTCTCTTTTCTATATATTACACCAAAAAAAAAAAGAAAAAAAAAAGCACTAAACAATAGGTATTTAACACAATTGTTTTTCAAAAAGGAGAAGTTCATTAAAGATTGCAATTTTATCAGGATATGGAAGAAGATGAAGTTGATCCAGACGAATTATCGTACGAGGTTCTAAATCGATTCATATCTTTTTTAGTCTTTTCAGGAAAAAAAAAAATCTGCATATATATCATAATAATCATGACATTTAGGAGAATCATAAATTATTGATGTTATGCATATTTATTATTGGTAAAAGGAGCTGCTTGCTCTTGGGGAGATGGTTGGAGTGGAGAACACAGGATTACCAAAAGCTGAAATCACTAAACATTTGCATCCACTTACATGTCAGTCTACCTCCAATTTGATTATTGACAGGTCATCAATTAGCATTTACTAATTTTCCTTTTTTTTCTATTTTATTTAATTGATGAGTTATGAACAAATTGCTCTAGGCTCTGCTTTACTACATGTCTGGTGTACATAAGATTTCAGTATATAGCTCACTTCAAGTTGAACATTATATATAGGTGTGTGATATGCCAAGTGGAGTATGAACAAGAGGAAGAACTAGCTGGCCTACAGTGTGAGCATCTGTACCACAAGGATTGTATAGTCAAATGGCTTCAAATTAAAAAGGTATTATCATTAATAATAACATTGACCTTACATTCCTCCTTCATAAATCCCGTAATTCAGTTGGTCTTGTATTAGATTGGCCTAACCATAAGGTCGGCAAACTCTTTTTAAAAATGTTCGTACTCTCATTGTAATTTTTGCACTTCTTTGGATATTGTTATTATATATATATATCTCTAATACCGTCTTTGCAGGTTTGCCCAATATGCAACTATGAGGTCTCAAGTTCAGGATTTGCATCAGGAGTTAGCAATGTACCCAAATGAATGTAAATCTCAATTAGCAGATGTACTAATGTACTACTACAATTCATATATATATAGAAGCAAATCAAATTTGTTTTTCCGTTTGTATACTTTGGCTCATAAAAGATAGAACTTTTATTTATAGAAAAATGCTAAAGTCCCGTAATGAAACCATTCTTCTGAATAAAATTTCAATAAAAAAGTGCTACCTCAGAATTCCATGACTACATCTCAGAATCCATATCAAACTAAAACATCTAATGACTTACATTGAAATGAGGGAATCATTCCCCCGGTAGTCGGCTCCTTATATGTGTGTGTGTGTGTGTGTATATATATTAAAAAAATTGTTTAATTGTTATTGGTTAGTATGCGAAAATAAAAAATGGCTTAGTAAAGAAATATAATGAAGAAAACACGAAAGCAAAACAAAGTCTGGGTACGTAGAAATTAAATTTGCCCTAAATAAATACATATGGTAATACCAAAGGTCTTCTAAACTACAACTTCTTACGACTTGTGTAAAGCGGTGTTACAAATACACATGTCCTCAACGAACAATAACACGTTTGCAAATATCCAAAAAAAGGCTTATAAAAAAGGTAAGGAAAGCCTATCAAAAGAAACAAAACTGAGGCACGTTTGAATACGTTCTCCTTAAAAAGAATTAGCCTCGTAAATTACTAACGGTTTACGGCTAACGCCTCCGACATACTATTCTTGTGTTTTGTATAGGAGTAATACAAAATACACTAGCCTTGAGTGAACACTATTATTACTACTTTGCAACTCTGAAAATAAAACGAACACAAGATGAAGTATGAACCTTGTGAAAATAATGCAATTAGAGATCTTAAAATTCAAGCGCATGATTGATATGACATTCATGGGCTATTTATAGATGTATAGGAACATCCAGAACCTTTATGTATCTAAAAACACTTTTCAGGATGTGCCCAGGCAGAAAAAAGGTGCCAAAAGTGAGTTGGCAAGCTTTTAGCACTAGGTGGTGCGTCGAGGTTGCGAGGTCGTCACGACCGCAACTAGTTTCCCCTTTGGACAGAACTTTAACCCAACTATTATTTGTCGCTAGCACGATGGACTCCATTGTCGCGGGGCTGCAATAGCCATTGCAATTGAATCATCGCACGGCGTGATGGACTCAGTCATCGCTAGTGTGACAGACTCATTGTCAACATCTGTTTTTAGTTCTAACCAACTTTTGAAATATTTGACCTCAATTTTTAATCATAAAAATCTACATTTCCCACATTTTAACTTTATAATTAATTTATCATTCAATCTAAATATGATTTTAATTTTTTTTTTTATTAAGTCTTCCATTTACTTATTGTATCGATAATCTATATAGGATATGCAACTAATATAGGATTCACTTAGAAATTTTATGTGACATATTTTGTCGATTGTGCAAGACGTAAGCAATTTAAGTACCAAATATATTAGAGAATCATATGTTGCACTCTTTGAATAACATAAACTTTCATTTATATATTTAATTTTATTGACATCATTTTTAATTTATAAGAGTTAGTTTATGAACATTTTGAATTGCCAAAATATATCATAATAAACATAGTATTTAATGTCATCAATATGTATTAATTAATATTCTTACAGAAATCTATTAAATATAGGTAAAAAAATTACTCATACTTTAAGAGTAATTATATGTATATATGGTTTGAAAATAGTATAAAATAACAAATAATTAGAAATAAAAATATATCTACATTTTTTAGGAATTGAGACCATAACAATTATTTTAGTTTAGTCAAGTATTTTGAACGAAGGTCGGGATTGACTATTCACATTTTCTTTTACAGTCTTAATTGATTACTAAATAAAATAAATAAAAAATACATTATATTATTTGATAGTTATTGCGTAGTTAATTTTTTATTCATTTGTTATTTTTAGAAAAGTGAATTATCGTTTTGCTTCAAATCTATGTATTAAAGATTTTTTTTTGTGTTTAACAAATACTTTATTCTTNCATATGTTTTAAAGATTTTTTTATTATTCAAAAATATATATATAATTTCTAAAACTTCAAAAATTTAGTAAAAAATTATTATTATTTAGAATTTCTACTTATTTATTTATCAAAAAAATGATCAATACAATAGTCATGATGTAATTTTATAATTAAAATAATTATAAGAAACCAATATTACATAATAGACCAATTGTATAAAATAAAGAACTTAATTATTATATAAATATAAATAGTTTTTTAACCAAAAGGTGTGTTTTCTGTGTGAAACCAATAAAAATTGTGTAATAATGTCAAATTGAGTGTAAAAAATTATTATAGATACTTTAACATGTGTTAATGTTCTTAATATTTTTTATATTTATAATAAAATAAAGTACAATGAAAAAATTAATCATATTAGTAAAATTGTTGTAAGCCTGACTTAACGACTAAATATTCATATCTTTCAAAGTATGCATACATACACTCCATGTGAATTGTCATACTCTTAAAATCAATGTAAACAAAAGTATCATATTTTATTGCATATGTTTATATATTTATTAAAAAAAATATGACAAGTCAATCCAACTAATGGTTATTCTTTTTCATACAAAAATTTATGTGAACTAATATTTCAACTTAACACGTGTTTGATCAATAAATTTTATGATAAATTATGAATTAAATAAAATTACATTTAAGCTAATATATCATAAGATATATAAATACAACTTGAATGAAGAAAAAATAACAAATGTTAGAAGAAAATTTTATATTTACATCATCAACTCTCATTTTCATATATGTATATATGTGTATAGATAAATTTAAAATTTGATCAAGTTTATAGTATTATGGTTCATCTACATCGTACATTAGAGGGGATTTTAAGGATTTGTAGTTATAAACTTATGATTATTTCACACAAGTTATTCAATGGAAAATTTTTTAGCATTAAATTTGCACTAAAGACCAACACTATCACTCATTATTAGACATGGTCACGGGTCAACCGGCCCGCCGACCCGGCCTGGTCAAACCCATTGACCACGGGTTCGGGACCGGACCGGATTTCAGACGGGCCATTTAAGGGTCATCCATTTCATGACCTGGCCCGGCGGGCCCAGGCCTGGCCGGGTCGATGACCCTCTATTTCTATTTTTTTTTCTATTTTTTTTTTTTTAAAATAACGGACCCGACACGAGTATAGGTCCATGTCGGTTCAGGGTCAATGTTTTCGAGCCCGGTGACCCGCCGGGCCGAACCGTGACCCGGCCCGGATTTTGGTCATGTCTACTCATTATACATAATTAGTGCATAGCCCGTGCGATGCACGGATAAATAATATTAAATTATAATTATAAATAAAATATGTTGGTAAACAATATAATAAAATTTTAAGGATTTTGAGTTAACATGTGATATAATTTATGTATATCAGTTTGTTGTAAATAATATAAAATTATCTTGTATAAAAGAAAATAAAACATGCAAGTTTGAAATATTAAAATCGCTTAAAATATGATATAACATATGTAAAAATATTTAAAATATTCTATATTGTTTTCGAAAATGTGAAGTCACCTAAATTATTCTAAACTATTTTGTAAAGACAAAATGTCTAAAAATACTTAAACTTAACATCTATATATGTCCATATATAGATAGAGAGTTTGGTTGTAATAATGGATTGGGCTTGATATAATCTTTTTGATTATTTCAAAGGATATCAATCAATTTAGTAAGCCCATTAACTTATTTGGTTTAATGTTGAAAATTATGTCCTTTAGGTTGAAAATACTTTTATACCCTTCATTTCAAATTAAATTTTCCAAATGAGTCTACATATTGAAAATTTGCAGCTCGTGAAAAGAAAATGGCGAATCCAGGCAATACGATCTCTTCAAGCAAAACGCTCAGCGTCTGAACGCGCACAAGCGGGAGAAAACTGCAACCAGAAAATTGCCCACTGACTCTGATGTCTTCGAGATCGACGGGCCGAGAAAATTGGCCGATCTAAAATTAAGAGAAAAAAAAAGAAAGAAAAAGGGTTAGGGCTGTTCTAGAATTTACCCCTTGGACCACAAGCTTGGGGCTTGACAAAATGAAGTCTAAGTGTAGCAGAGATGCGTATGTTGCGTTGGTTCTGCGGGAACACAAGAAGGGATAGAATCCATAATGAGGATATTCGAGATAGGGTCGGGGTGGCTCCAATTGAGGAGAAATTGGTTCAACATCGGCTGAGGTGGTTCGGACATGTCCAACGGAGGCCTCTTGATGCACCGGTGCGTAGGGGAGTTCTACAGCGGGTCGAGGATGTTAAGAGAGGTAGAGGTCGGCCTAAACTCACTTGGGAAGAGTCGGTTAAGAGAGATCTTAAAGATTGGAATATCTCCAAGGATTTAGCGGTGCATAGGAGCGCTTGGAGGCTCGCTATCAACGTGCCAGAACCGTGACTTTTGCTCCTTTCTCTCTCTCTCTCTCTCTCTCTTTCCTATCTCTTCCTTTCGGTTCGAGTCTTTTTGGGTTTCTCTTGGGTTTCATCTCTAGCCTACCCCGACTTGCTTGGGACTAAAGGCTATATTGTTGTTGTTGTTGTTGTTTATTATGATGATGAAGAAGAAAAGGGGAAGGGATCTTAATTCTGTTGCTTTACAAAATTTGAAAAAAAAAAAGAAGAAGAAGATGTTGATGATGGAGAAGAAAAAGAGTGAAAGGGGTTGTCTTGCTGTGCGGCGCAAATTCACGAAAATCACGAAAAAACGAGAAATATGAGTTGAGGTTATCTTGGTAAATTTAAATAAAAAATTGAGTGAGATAACACATCCCACCTCATATGGGATACACAATACTCAAAGTTGTTATTAATTAGCCGGGCCCTTTCATTTTAACGGGCTTGGACGGATCAAACCAAACATGTTTATAGGCATGAAATAATAATAATAGGCATGATATCAAGCCCAATCTGGCCAACCAAACGGACCCTTATAATTAGGTCACATGAGTGTTATTGCATATAACTTAAACTTTTTAGAGCGCTATATGCATTTTGTGAAGTTCATAACGTTCATTTTGCATTGTTGGAGTTCTTCATTTTGAGAGTTTTAAAATAAATATTGTTTACTGTAAACTTGTTTATTTTTAATACTTTTAATCATATGTCATTGCATTTTGGGAGACGCTTGCTATTATCGTAAGTAATTGGACAGAACAAGAAGGTAATTATACAAGTCTGCTTACATAATATTTTTCTTATTTTTTTCTTCATTATTGCATTACAAAGGNCATACTGACTTGAGCGTCGGAGGCTCTACGCCGGAAACACCTCCGGCGTTGAGTTTTTGCAGGTATTCTTGCGGTCTAGCAACGGTTTCAAGGCGGTTCAAGCAGATCTGAGCTCACAACCACCGGTTTACTTCAGATCTAGAAGTAGACCCATCATTTGGCGCCGTCTGTGGGGAGTTCTTAAAGGAAGGAAGAGCTTCACACCCAGCTCCGATCTGTTTGCCAATGGCGGAGAAGAAGAGCTTGCAGAGGAACCTGAGTGAGGAATTCAGAGGGACGTGGATGGACAAGAGGCCACCACCACTTCCCACCACCAAACACCCCGTATTTCAGATGACGGGAATGCCACCATTCGGAGGACCACCACCACCAGGACTGATATTGGGCGGAGAAACGCCTGTCACTCCAACCGGCGTGAAGTTACAAGTGTTGACTCAGGTAGGGACAAGTCAAAACCCTAATCCAGGACGGGAAAAGGAACCAACGGAGATGTCTCGACGTGAGGGAAAACAGATACAGGAGGTACCGGACCAAATCCAACCCCATGTCGAGGAGCAAACCTTGACGATGACGAGAAGCGAGATGCAGAAGATGATCGCTGAGGCTGTAACGGCTCAGATGAAGCAAATGGCGCAGGACGAGCAGCAGCCTCGAGTCGAGAACCAACCTCGAGTCGAGCAGCAGCCCCGTGTTGAATATCAGCCTCGAATCGAGCAATAAGCCCAGTCGAACGTGCAACATAATAGGAGGGTGGACGAGGAAGAGTCCTCTATTCGAACTGTCAATCCGCGAGCGAGGGATGAAACGTTAGAGCAATTATTAGCCCAAGTTCGCGATTTATAGGCTCGAGTCGATGGAAAGAAGAGCAGGGGAACAAAAGAGCACCCATTCTCGTTGCAGATCTTGAAAGCCGACTTACCCAAAGGCTTCAGAGAATTGAACATATGGTACGACGGCTCCACTGACCCGTCTCGACATTTGAGGAGTTTCGAAAATATGGCCGTGCTTCATCACTACAGCGACCCAGTGCAATGTCGCGCTTTCTTGACAACTCTGACAGGGTCAGCTCAGGACTGGTTTCACCAACTTCCAGCGGGGTCGATTAGGGACTTTGATGGATTTAGCTCGAGTTTTCTTAACCAATTTGCAAGTGTGAGGGTGCAAGAGAAATCCTATCTCTCGTTGATAAGTATGCAGCAAAAGAAGGGAGAGTCGCTGCAAGAGTATGTGGCGAGGTTTACAAAGGCATGTGTCAAGTGCCCAACAGCGACAGAGGAAATCAAATCGGGAGGACTGACGAGAGGGCTATTGCCAGGGTTATGTAAGAACTCTTTGGCCAAGCGACCTGGTAGGAGTTTTGATGACGTGTTGGGAAGATGCGCCAAATATATGAATGTCGAGGAGGCCGAAGCCGATTATCTGCAAAATGTGAAAATACCCCAAACTGACAGTCGAGACGATAAGAAGGAGAAGAAAAACCAGTCGACAGGGGAAAGAGGGGGATCACCACGAGCTGACAAGGGTGAAGGACGATACAGAGGATGGAGGCCGGCTCAATACACACCCCTGTCGGCTCCTCATGCAAGAATACTGGAAGTCATGGAAAGAGAGATCCGTGACGATGTGGTGAGATGGCCACGAACAAGGAAAGATGGACCAGTAAGGCCCAAGGGTAGTTTATACTGTCGATTCCACAAAGATTACGGCCACGACACTGATGACTGCAGACACCTTAAAGACGAAATCGAAAGGTTGATAAAGGCAGGACACTTGAAGGAATTCATATACAAAGACCGTGAGAGGTCGAGCAAGAGGAGAGAGAGAAGCAACAGCCCTCGCAAGAGGGAAAGATCACCAGAGAGAGAGGAGCTCCCACCAAAAAGGGGAGTAATTAATATGATTTTTGGAGGGTCAACAGACGGGGACTCGAACCGAGCAAGGAAAGCATATGCTCGAAGTCGATATGCAAAGGTCGAAGTGCAGCAAGTCGATGAATGCGGACCAGTAATGAACTTTGGACCTGCGGACGTTGGAGAAGTCGAGAGACCACACAATGATGCCCTAATGATAACCGCACAGATATCAGGATACGAGGTGCAAAGGGTGTTCGTCGACACTGGAAGTTCTGTAAACGTGATTTTCTATGAATGTCTCAGAAGGATGGAACTCGACATTGAACTTGCGCCTCTACAAACATCACTCTTTGGATTTAACGGATCAGAAGTCGCTCCCCTTGGAGAAACAACGCTGGCCGTCGTCCTGGCGGAAGGCGATTTGAGAAAGGTAAAAATGGTGAAATTTGTCGTGGTCGACGTCGAGTCAGCGTATAACGTAATCCTCGGGAGGCCGGCGCTCAATACCTTCCAAGCGATGGTGTCAACTTATCACATGAAATTGAAGTTTCCCGTTGGAGATCGAGTGGGAGAGGCTCGAGGGGACCAAGAATTGTCCAGAACATGCTATCGGATCGCGGTCAAAACTAACCAACGGGCTGAGATCAAGGAGGGCAAAAAACCAATGTCGAATGAAAAGAGGCCGAGAGGGAGTGACCTCGAGCCCATGGAAAGTTGATGGAAATTCGAATAGATGAAACGGAGGACCAGACGACCAAACTCGACAACTCCCACGATTTTACGCTTAAGGCAATGTCTCAAACTACCCTTTGTACTGAGCGATGTTTGAATTGAATTCAATAATGGAATGAATCTTAAAGCTTATGCTTCAATTACGTTTTTTATATTTATGCGTCGACTTTATTATGATTACATGAAAAATTGAATTTTTCAAAACGGCTAGAAAGCTGGCTAACTCCAATGATTATGAAATCATTTAGCACAACTACGAAGTTGTAAACTCTCGAGCAGAATCTCGAGCAGGCTACGAAGCCTTCGACTACGAAGTCGACCAACACAACTACGAAGTTGTAAAATTCTCGAGCGGAATCTCGAGCAGGCTACGAGGCCTTCAACTACAAAGTCGATCAGAACAACTACGAAGTTGTACAATTCTCGAGCGGAACCCCGAGCAGGCTATGAAGCCTTCGACTACGAAGTCGATTCACGCAACTACGAAGTTGCAAACTCTCGAGTGGAATCTCAAGCAGGCCATGAAGCCTTCGACTACGAAGTCGATTCACGCAACTACGAAGTTGCAAACTCTCGAGTGGAATCTCGAGCAGGCTGTGAAGCCTTCGACTACGAAGTCGATCAACACAATTACGAAGTTGTATGATTCTCGAGCGGAATCTCGAGCAGGCTCTGAAGCCTTCGACTACGAAGTTAGCTAGCACAATCATTAAACAATTGAAGCTCTCGAACCGAATCTCGAGCAAATTTACAAATCTCACACTCACATCCACCGGTTTACACCGGTATACGCAATTATGTAATTTTCGTGTTTACAGAAGGACAAATCTCATACAATCAACTTTGATACACATCTAGACAACGAACATCGACATGGCTAAGAAGCTGTTCAAATTGTTGCTCGACTTCGACCAGCTCGCAAGAAGGGTTGGGAGGAGACGAGTTGGAAAACTTAAACGTTTCACAGCTACGAAGCTGTTCAAATCCTTGCTCGACTTCGACCAGCTCGCAAGAAGGGTTGGGAGGAGACGAGTTGAAAAACTTAACGTTTCACAGCTACGAAGCTGTTCAAATCCTTGCTCGACTTCGACCAGCTCGCAAAAAGGATTGGGGAGAAGATACACAGGAAACAGCAGCAAAATAATTTGAAACACAGCTACGAAGCTGTTCAAATCCTTGCTCGACTTCGACCAGCTCGCAAAAAGGATTGGGGAGAAGATACACAGGAAACAGCAGCAAAATAATTTGAAACACAACTAACACAAGCAAAGAAGAGAAAACTTATATTAATGAAAAGGATGCATTACATTATAAATCGTCTCGACCCTTACAAGCCTTGAAAATGGGTCGAGACGAGACAAACAAAACAAATTGCAAGTAAAAGGAAAGCAAACAACAGCATAGCCCCAGAATAAATGACGCCGCTAAGACTCGGCATCCGACTTCTCAGCAGCATCATCTCCCTCCTCCACAATCGTGGCAGTCTTCTCCGCCTCAACATCCCCGTCGACAAGCGGCCCAGCGCCTTGCTGCTCGACATCCCCCGCCTCGACTTCCTCCTCCCGACTAGCCCCACTTGCCCCGAT